TGACAAAAATGAAAATTGACATCACAAATAAAAATGTAATATATATACAGTATTTTTATTAAAAAAATATTTATTAATATAAAATAAATCTTATTTTAGAAAGCTTGAAACCATTTTCATAATTTCCAACATCTCTATTTAAGGAAGACAAATTTTTAATCTTATTGAGAAATGTTGTTTATTATTCTATAGCCATTTTCCATTTTGACACACCATAGTCATATTCACACTTTTTAAGTAAACTATGAATTTACATACACAGAATAAAGGAAAATAATAATAATAATTAACAAATTTATTTAATTTAACAAACTTAAGTTTACATGCCATATTTTTTCAAATTGATTTATTAGTACTTCAATGTCTTTTTCAGTAACTTTGATTGTATTGAAAGAATAGTAAGATTATGGTTCAGGAAGGACTGAATTCCAAACTAGGTCTTAAATAATTTTTATTTTTAATATTGAAAATGATTGTTCTGTTATAGCGAAAGAAACTTGCATACTTTCAGGTTCCTTGCTGTAGCTCCCACATATGTAAGCTTAACATACATATGTCGGAGTATATTAAAAATCATACAATTTTATATATTCAGAAATGATAAACAAAAAAAAAATTGTTTCACCTTTCTGGGAGTATACTCTATCTCTTTAGAAGATCATTTTCAATAGAAATGCATAGTTAACAGAATGCATAATGCTGGACTTGTTTTCAGAAATGAATGATTCAAATTGTTACTAATATAGGTATGCCTTGCTTAATGAAGTAGATACAACAAATTAAAATCCTAGAATACAAGAAATATCATTATTGGAAGTAGAAATAATATAAAGTATAGTATGGATAGGTTTCTCCTCTTAAAGTGTTTCGAGAAATAGGTATAAATTTATTTAAAATGAAATCATACATATTATATTATCATCTATTTTTAATATTTATAAAAACTTTCCAAGACAATTAAAACATTAAACATCTCAAATTTACTATTAATTAATACAGAAAATTTTAAATGAGTACTAGTATTGTTCTTTAAAAATGCATTTAAGGGTGACTGTCTCACTTTTTTCTTATGATTTAACCTGTTATAGTGAGATACATAGTATCTCAATATAACAGGTTAAAGCATTTAAAGCTGATCTCTTTACATTGCAACTTCATTCAAAACCAGGATTGTTTTCAAATAACATTTCTAAGGCACGAGTCACTTCATTTTAACAATTGGGTAAAGTCTCTGCTGCTAATATCATCTCTGGAAACTTCTCTCCCTTTTTTTTTAATCTGTTTGTAATACTATGCTAACTGTTGTTTATTTGTCAATGTTTCACCATGATTCCTCAAAATCAGATATGTTAACTTCTATAAAGTCTATTGCCTATGCCATTTCAACAATAATTGTTAATTTGCAGGAATTTTATATTCTATTTTATTATGTTTGATACTTTAACATCAACCAGCTACACTTGTTACCAGACGCTATTAAGAATATGATGTACTGTACCACATCATCCTCAGACTTCTTTGATATTGATGATTGCTTTGCTTTTCTAATGTTATAATTTTTTCAGAAAATTTTTATATATATTTGTTGCTTATCATTAATCTCAATCAACTGAGTAAAAGTGCGCCTAAGGTGATAAGCTTTAAATTTAAGGCTGCTATTTTGCCTTGATTAAGCTATGCCTAAATGACTGGTAAATAGTGCTGTGCATCAGTCGAAACATATTTTTTCCATCTTTTCTACAGTTCTATTATGTATACATGTTAATTTACATGTAGTAAGGTCATTAAAATTTTTTATAGTCTGATTAACTTTATCTGCTTGATTTAAAATTGTTTTTAGTGCTGTGTTAACCTTAATGTTCTACTATGTGCCATTTTTTTTAAGCTTCTATTTGTTTTTTATTCTCCATTTTAATTTCTAAAGCTACTAATTTATGTTTTTGAGACAGTATATAAATTATATTTTATATACAAATGTTTGTCTGGTCTATATCAAAATCAGGTAATCTGCTAGATTATATTAGTCTATAATATGTCTACTACTATTAATAATTATATATCCAGTAATTTTGCCTAGAGGTAGTATTAGGTGCCATCTCTTGATAAATTTAATAATTATAAATAAATTAATATTTAATTTTAATTTAGAAAGTTCCAGAAGAAAAGAATTGACCTGGACTTAAACCTACTATTTTTGCTTACTGTGCATATGTATTGCCTGTTTATGCTACTCAGGCCTCCATCAGATTTTTACCTCTAGAACAATTAATTTAGATATAATCATACTAGTTGCTCATGGGGCTGAGTGGGAATGACTTAAGTGTCCACTTAAGCCTCAGGAATTACAGGTTCGAGTGCACTGTACATATTTCACCCACAGTTTGCTGTGACCCCTTCCACCACAGATAGCATCATTATCAGTGTGATAACCACATTGAAGTAATTTTTGGTACCCAAAATATTTTTACTGCTTTTTCCATTCCTTCTCCACTCTTAGATTCTATGGCTTTAGCCATTATTTGAGCCAATTCTAGTTTTTCTTTTTCTTCTATTGTCTGTTGTTGTTTTCAGTTTAAACTTAAGACCTAATTAATTGAACTCAAAATAATGTTTAAAATGATGGCGATTCTAATTTGGAACACTTGGGAGTCCAACTTAGGAAAAGCCACATTGTTCTAAAACATTCTCATCATTACTTATTGTATATCAGAAAATTAACAGATTATATAACAAAATAGATAATCTGTTAATTTTATACTACTACTACATGTTTGTAATAAGAAAAACACTCATATCTGTTTAGAAGTTAAGTGATGATGTGAGAACGATTTTGTGGGTAGCAAGAGTGAAAATCCATACACTTAACAGATGAGAAACCCATGGAATTGATTAATTACAATTCTACAGGTTGAGACAAGATTGTGAAGTATTTACTCCACTTAATGCTGGCCTGCAACATTTCTTTAATGAAATTAACCAGGGATAAAGGTTTTTTGCTGCTTTTCCTCTATTAAATTTGCATTATGCACACTTGCAAACACCCACTCACCTTATATTATTAATTAAAAGAATTCAAACTACTTGTTTGTTTAAAATCAATCTGTTAAATCTGACATATTAATAGTGAATGGTTCCAGTCTTTACTGCTTTAACAGCCTCTACTTTTCTTGGAATACTTTTTACTAGAAATTGAAATTATGTTTTGACTAGAATTATTTTCCATAAGAAATTAGTGAAGTCAATCACTGAAATGGTGAGTTGGTGTTGCTTTCAGCTGACATACAATTTATTCCAAAGACATTCAATGGGATTTAGATCAGAACTGTGAAAGACAGTCAAGCTTTCTCATATTCAACTCATTAACCCATTCCTGTACAAACTTCATCTTGTGCACAGGAGCATTGTCATACTGAAATATAAAAGTATCTTTTCTAAACTGTCAGTGAGTAGGAAACATTCATCCAAAATGTCAGTGTAAATAGTGCTGAATCTGTTTTACTTGAACAATGTAAAAACCACAAAAAACAGGCCAGATAATAAAAGCTTCATTGCCAAACTTTATGGTAAGCCAAACATACTAAGGCAAAAATGATTTTCCTTGCATTTGTCAAACCCAGATTTTTTTAAATTGGACTGATAATGAACCTTGATTTCTCATTACTCAGAACATGTTTGTTTTCAAGAGTCAATAGTGATAAGTTTTACATCATTCTAGTTGATATTTGGCATTATTTGTGGTGATCTGAAGCTTGGAGAATTAAATAGTTGTGTAATTCACACACAACTATTTAATCTAGTCTGTAAGCCTTTTCCTTGCTTGCTTTTTGGGTCACAGTCCCTGGCCTCTGTTTCTATGGTTGTTGTCTGGCAGAACACCAATAATGTATTTCTCTTGGCCAAGTCAGTCTTCAACCTTATTCTTGATTTCCTGCTTCTACAGTTGTCTTTATCTTCCACTTGTACCAAGCAGAAATCCCCTCCAACCAGATATTTATTGCCTCCTCTTCTAATTCTCTAATCCTCACTGCTTTGTCCTTGTCCCACCTTTAGAAGTGCAGATTTCAACACTTCTTTGCCTCCATGATGTTGGCTGACTTTAAGGCCCTGCAGTCTTGTCTAGTTCAAAATAAAGGATGGTGTGAAGTCAACAGCCAATTACTCTCCAATACTGAAATATATTACGTAAACACAGAATTGCAGAACTAATCTGTTTAGTTTTGCAAATGTGGTGATTTTCCTGCAAACACATCTGACTTTCAGAATTAATTCTGAAATGCACTTTATCCTTCAATCAATTCAAAATAAGTTGGAACTGAAATATTTACTTTGTTTATTATAAACACGTAATTTGTTTGATTTTAAATAATTTTTAAAAATAGTAACTAATGTTTTCATATTATGGATGTAGTCAGTTGAAAGCACATGGACCTTAGTAATTTTTTAATAGTGGTGTCTAAAATTACACATTCTCTGAGGAAGAGTAGTGAGTACATGAAGTGTTATAATTATTGTACTATATAATTAGCAAGAACAAATGATTATTGGAATTTAGAAATATATTTTTAATGAATTCAAGCTGAATTTAGTATGAGATTATTGTAATTTGCAATTTACATTTATTTTACAAATATTTATATCTTGCTAAACAATATTTTGGTAAATTTTGAATTTTTGGAGAATACATGGAATTTTTCACTTCACATTTTGTAAAACCTGAAAAAATCAGGGAAATTAAAATTGTTTTTCCAGACACTGTTTAATAGCAAGTTTATTAACTGTTTCATAGTGAATGACTAAATATCTTGGAAATATAATTTATTAATATAAAATGTAAATGGTATATACAATTTTTATACATCTTAAAAGTATCATCTGGTAATAAATATTAAATTTAAACGTATGTTGTTTATTCCCTTTACTTAATAGAATAATATCTGTCAGAATTTTTATTGTTAATGACTTGCAAAAAATTCTTAATTGTGTGACTTTTTTTTTTACAGCCTGATACAGTACCTCAAGCAGTGATAGATATGAATCATGTCCTTGAAGTTGCTGATGCAGAAGATATAACTGGCAATCAATTTGCTTTAGCAATTACTGCACCAGAAAAAGTTCATTTTATCAAAGGAACCTGTCGAGATGAAAGCAAATGGTAATAACAACAATATTTAATAAAGATCTTTTTTCATAAGAAAGAATATTTGAAAATTTGCATGCTAAGTTAAAGTCAAAAAATAATTATTTAAAAAAATATTTCCTTTGTATAATTATACAATAACTTCAACAGAAGTTACTGTATAATTGTCTTAGTCTTAAAAGTTTAACCTGTGATTATATTTTAAATGAAACTTTATGACAGTAGTTGAATTAATAATTGTTTATTTTTTTTATTTTGAATGTTTGTTCAAAATCATTGTGCTTGTAAAGAAGATTGTGAATATATAGAAATTAATATTTGTGTATAAAGTTCTGTTTTAAATTTTGTTTGAAATATTGCAATTCTGAACATTGGAAAGGGTTGTATGCAACAAATTAGTTTATTATAGATAATTTAATTCATATATAATACACAAGTGCAAAGTCATAACACTTGAATAATATGTAGATAAGAAAGTTATGCAATATAATTTTCAAATTTTGACATTTTACCTGATATTGTTTCTTTCAAAATTAACAATAATCTTGATCTGGGTTTTGAACACTTTACAATTCTTAACTTTTTTCAATTGATTACAGCTTTTTCAATATTTATACTTTTAATCAATGTCACTTTTAATATGTGCAGTAGTTTGAATTTATTTATATGCACAAAAATTGAGGAAAGTAAATTTATCGTCAGCCTTGATCATAACATTTGATATACTTGTTGAAGTGTGCAAATAATAGATGATAAACAGGCAAAATGATATAAGCAATTAGCATTGTTGTATTCAATAAATGTTTCTAAGCTTTAATTATTTGAAACAGTAAGTGAAACTGTTTTTGTTTGAATGTTTTATCCTCTTTGATATGGACCATAATGTATGACCAAGAAATAAAGCAGGCCACCTTACTGTTTAGTGTATAGTCTGCACTAATTGAATATGAATGGATGGAGAACAAGGCATTTCTGCAGAATTTACCACACTGTTTTCTACAGCAAGTTTTGCTTGTGGCCATACTATCATGTCAGTTACTTCCTCAGTCTGAAGAAGCTATTAGATATGATCAACTGTTTTATCACTTGTGTGATTGGCTCAGACTCTTGAAATTTGTTTTACCATTTATAACTACTATTTGCAGTGAGAAGATCCTTTCTGTACTTTCTTCTAAATCAGTGTTTCTCAGTGGAGGCAATATCTCCCCCATGGGGCGTTTTTCCATGTTGAAAGGGCGATTAGTAACAATTTATATTTTGGGGGGGTGAAAAACAATTTTCTGGGCGATATAGCGAAACATTATATTAAGAATAATTAGATATTTTATTTGTTATATTGTACAATAATTAAACAAATAACATTATACTAGTCACTAGTCTATTCAATGCAGTACAAATTTGGCGTTAGCCTTGGCCCTTGGCATCGGAATTTTGAAGTGAAGGGGGCAATACTATGTAACGGTTTTATTGAAGGGGGCTATACTATGTTGAAGGGGGTGACAATTCATTAAAGGTTGAGAAACACTGTTCTAAATGCTCACACTTCAGTAATAAGACTGCTGTGTGAAGATCCAGAATGCAAAAAGCATGCTTTGGTCCATCTGTCATGTTGCTTAATTTATTGAAACTAATTCTTGCACATATGCATTCTAAGTTCAGTTCTATGCAAATCAAAGTTTGAGTTCCTTTTTCAAATACAGTAAGACTCCACTTAAGTGAGTCTTACTGTATTTGAAAAAGGTACTGTAAGATGCATTCCTAGACAACAAAGCACTAAACGAAACAGCATTAAATGAGGTCATTTTAACTTAGAGTAAATAGAGAAAGGAAACACCAATGCTCTTTGAAGAAAGATTGCAGATAATATATCAGTTTTACCATAGCTAACAATTAATTCAAATTGTCATAATTAGTACAAAATTAGTTAAGTACTTTAGATTTATAATTAAGTTACATCCTGTTTATTCATTCATTAACAATGATGAATATTGCTCAATGATTAAAATTTAGTGTGAATATTACATGAATGAGATATTAACATATTTGTAATATTTAAGTGAATGTCAGTAGTGATTTCAGCATTTACAAAGTATGATTGTTTACTTACATTCTATAGAGTAATTGACATAATGGAAGCTATACATCAACCAAAGCCGAATATTATCGGGCTAAAAACGGCTATAATACTATTAATAATGGAAGCAAGTTGAATTTAAAAAGCAGCTTTAAGATGTCATTTTTAAGGTTTTTAGATTAAAAAAATTTTTATAATTGGAATTTATCATATGAAATAAAATTTTTTTTAAACATTACTTGAAATAATTCTTATCAATTTTTCAAAAATATTATATTTATAGATTGATGTATTCCAAATTAAAATGTTTATTATTCAAATTATATTCAAATTAATTTTAAATAAGCAATAATTTTTTTGGATTATTATATGCATATATGCATGCTTGTTCAGTGATCCAAATATCAACTTTCCAAAGATATTTTATCAATTAAAATATTTTTGCAAAACCATTTTGATTAATTTATACTTATACATATTTATGTAATTTATACAAAGCTCTTCATTGATTCACTTAGACCTACTGAAATGAAATGTTTGAATGGAAGCTTATGACTTATAGAAAAATAAAAGGATGCAATGAAAAGAGAATGTTGAATATATTACCAGAAAAATGTATGTTATTGCATCTGATCAATTGATCTTTTAAACACACTCTTCATGTTTTTAATAATGCTTATTAATTTTTTGCTTTGCATTATTTTAAATTAAAATGATTTTGTTTTATCTTACTGTTGATTTATTTTTACTAAACTATATTGTAGTTTGTATTTTATAATTTCATAGTATGTCAAAGTGATATGAAACATATTGTTATTTTGCAACATGGTATGTATTTTGTTGGCCATCAAAGGTATTCTATCCTGAATGTGTAATCTTTAATCATTTCAGAATTATTTATTTAATAGTGTAACTAAATACAGCAGAATTATTGACATTGATGATGCCATCTTTTTCAGATTCAAGTTTATGTGGATAAAACACAAATTTATACAATTTTTATTATAGAATTAAATATTTATATTATAGGTGTTGTATATATAACCTCTTCAAATAAAATTCTGACATCATCCAACTTGTAAGTTTTACTGTGATGTGCAATGTAACCTTTGACTTGTCTCCAGGCTAATTCAATTGAGTTAAGTTCTGCATGATATATGATGTAGATGTAATACATGATGACCTGCTGATTTATTCATGTCATTGACACTATAACTCAAATACTTCAGCTTCTATATTTTCACTATTTCCAACAGTTTGTTTCAATTGTTTTGGCTTCCATGATATTCCTTTCTCAGTAAACCAGTTATGAATTTTATCTTTTCTCTTCTACAAAAATTGATTACCTTTATATTCACCCAGCTGATTTTTTCCATACTTCTAAGACCCGTTTCAGGTGAAAAATTTTTAAACAGCGTTCTATCTGTTTAAAAATTTTTTTTACTATGATACTCTGAGCGATTTTACTATGATTATCCATAATGAAAGCAGAATCACACGTGATGAGTGTAATAAAGGTTTTGAATCTTTTACTGATTCATTTTCTGATGATTCATTTTTCAAAAGGTAGGAGAGCACCATCCACAAATTCATTTCATTGCTTTCATGGACACAGATTGTGTTTTCCACAACCATTTAGATTAAATAATCTAGATGACAAACCATAAAGAAATGCATATTGATAAGATTGTGCAATGCTGTCTTGTTAACAATTAAGAGCCATATGATCAGTATTAATGATTCATTCAAATAATAAATATTCTTTTCTTGATGATATCGTTACTTAAAACCAATCCAATGATGTCTCCATGTAATCAGTTCAGATGATTCAAAACTAGAAACAGAAATTCAAAACTACATGGACTGCAGGCAGGCTTGAATTTCATTTTTGACAATCAAACACAAATCTAATTTCCTTCAATACACAATGCAATGTTTACTTACTTTAATTTGATAAATTGGGATTGTTGTTTATATTACAGAGAATGGATTTAATTATGGAGAATTAAAAAGAATCAATGAATTGTGGTTCTAATGGCTGTGCAGACAAACTCTTCACATTTTGTATATCATTTTTTTCCCCATGTAAAATCGTTTTTTAACCAGTGACCTTACCTTTCCACATGTCTATTGCTATCCTTTCTTCACAGTGAAAATGCTTGAAATTAATATACCAGTCAGAAACTAAATTTGCAGCACTGCCTTTTCAACTGACAAAGATAGGTTTTGCTCTCTCAACTGAGTATAGACATGAAGTATTTATTTAAATGATGTTGTTATTGGTTGTGAAGTAACATTGAGGTGATTTGTTTGATGCAGCATATGCCATTCTGAAGAATGTTAAACAGAAACTCTAAGTAAAATAGAACAGAATAAAAACTTCAAATGACATGTTTGAATTTTTGATGATGTGATATTTTTTGATTTTAATAATTCCAAATTTCTTGCAAAAATATCAAATTTCAAATATAAGATATGTTTAAACCATTATAATTTAATTTTCTAATGGTTTATAAGTATAATGTTCTACTTCATAATGAACTTGTAACTATTAATTTGAGTATAGACAAATGAACATTGGCTCCATTCTTATTTTGGGAATTACTATGGTTAATGGGTCATATTCAGGAAACTAAAGATTGGACTATGTGAATTTGTCTATATTTAAAACATTACTTATATAATTTTTAAATGGGATTTTATTTAGGCTGTAATATGGTTAAGTAATTTTAAAAGATGTGTAATTTGGACTAAAGGAAAATTAAAAATTCCAAATAAAATCTTGTGATGTCATTTGATTATTTTTACTAAAAGTTTGACTAGGATTTTATGTAATTATTTAAAATTAAAATATTTGAAAAGTTGATCTAAGAATATTTTATTAATTTAATTTGTGTAGGTGGTTTGATATATTGTCTCGTTATCCAAAGAACACAATTCGAGGAAAGCACAAAAGAAATGCGACATTTCCAGGTTTGAAAGCAACTTTAATAACTGAAAATGTAAGTAAACCGTCTTAATATACAATTTAGTTATACAGAAATAAAATGTTTTTTTTTTCTTTTTTAAACTTTGTATTCTCAAAAACACACTAAAAGTATAAAATAGTTTATAGTGTATAGAATTTTCAAATAAGAAAACAGTTTTAGTAATTAATATTTTATCATTAAAATTATGATTAATAAAAAATATTTATTAATTGTAATATTTCTAATACTTCATATTTTCTGTAATGCATTACAAGTATTATAAATTAGTTATATTCTTAAATCTTAAAGAATATTTTTTTATCTTTAACAAGAATACATCAAACCAACACACCAACCATGATCAACCAGTAGATCATATTCCATCGCGAGTTGTCCAAGCCTAGTATATATTAACAACATAGTATTTAAAATTCACGTAGTTATTAGATAAATGTTATTCCATAAATGTTGATATATTGTTTCCAAGTAACAATTTTAATTTAGTCACCATAAATATACTTAGTCTACAACTGAACATTTTTTAAATTCTTAGATGTATAGGTATTTACTACAGTAAAATTTTAAAGTATACATTAAAATTTACTGAATGTAGTAAATATCCTGCTTAGGGTAGTTTTGCTCTGCACTATTTTGTTGTTGCACTTTATGGCAACACTCATATCATACGACTCATTTAGTGCAATTCATGGTAATTTGTTTAGTCCTTTTATTCAGTTAACTTTTGCGTATACATATCTTTAAAAATATATCTTGAAAAATTATATAACAAATATTAAAGTAATAATTTCAACAATATTTTACAGGTTTTACAGATAAGAATAAAATTGTTTATAAACTACTAATAATTATATTCGGAATAAATTTTTTTAAATACTAGAATCAAAATGCAGGTTAATTTGATGAAATTAATTAAAAAATAAACAAACACTTAAATATAACAAAATAATTAATGTTATTAAAGTTAACTTACTTTAATTCAAAATACAATTTGAATAATCTAATGAATATTGCCTTTTGAATCATTCAATAAAGTGCTTTTATAGTTTTTTTTTATCATTATTGAAACTACATTGTAAAATAGCTTTTTTTTATTTTGACCTCCACTTAATTCTCTATAATGATTTTAGCATGACATACTTCTGTTATAATAAAATTTTTGATTATAGGATATATTCAGATTTTATAGGTGCTTTTATCACTAAGTCATCCTTAGGCAGATGCACTTGATGGAAAGTAGGTCAATTATCTAAGCTTACGTGATGATTAAATTATTAATTGCAATAAAATGCACGAAGAATTATTTATTTATCTATCAATGTAAATAAAGTTTAATGATAGTAATTTTTTGTAAAATAAAATTATTTGTAGTTGATCAAACATTTTTACAATTCTTACCAATATATTATTTAATAAAAAAAGTTATTCACGAAGTCAATAAAGAAATTAATTTTGCAAACTTACTTTTTTAATTAGTGATTAGATTAGATAATTGAATAATAATTATGCATTCTTAATGTAATCATGAAATATAATCTTATCATTGAACAAACAAGATTTCACGAACTAATCATAATTAGTTTTTATTCATTTCCCACACTTACAAGTGCTAGCTAGCTAAGTCAGTGAACCAAATTATTCTGTCAATAGATCCTTAAATAACATGCCTCTTAAAAAAATTAAAAAAAGAAAAAAAAATATGAAATAATTTTTAATTTAAAAATACGTAAACAAAATGTAAACATACACACTTACAAACAACTATGTGTACATTTTTTTGAAGTTAATTACAATGCCTAATAAACTCAATCATAAAAAGTTTAACATTTTTCTGTAAAAAATTTGTTTTGCACATATAGATAAGATAATTTGAAGAAAATTTTATTGAAGGAATTTGACAAGTAACTTATTTTATAAAAAGAAATTTTTGAAATAAAACTGATAAATTAATGTATTGATTTTATACAGGTGTCTCATATAAAATTGGTCTCAGTCACTGAAAGTGATAAAAATGAATTTAGGCAAAGGATACTTATTACAGAAGATAAATATCAACCATAAAGATTAAGTTTGACAACCTTAGAAAGCAATATTTTAAGAATATTTTTGGCTCAATTTGAGCTGTCTTTAGTTAAGCATAGCTTATATAAAATAGAACCAGCTTTGACCAGAACAAAATTATTTAAATTAAATTTTAGAACATTTACAGAGTAATATTTTTCAAATTCCACCATACTTGTAAAATTCTAAAAATATCTTTAGGGTTCCTTAAAGAATAAAGCAAGCTTTAACACTTGAAACTAGTATTTAAAATTAAAATGTATACTAATAGTTGAGCTAAAAACTAATGCTTTTAGGAACTTTAAGAATATTTGCCTATTAGGTTTATTCTATTTCCCTTAAGAGTCTGCTGATAATTTTGTCTAAAACTGGCTTTCAGTTATCCTGCATAATATCTTCTTTGGCATTAATAATTTTGATACTTCTAGATAGTGCATAAATTTATATTTGCTCCAGAATTTTGATGGTGTTTCTTGCTCTACATTCCTCAATAAGCAGTCCCATAGCCAGAAGTAAATCACTGAGGAGCTAGAAGGGGCAAACCTAAAAAATGACAGATATTTTTCTTTTTCAGCCAGCATTAATCCTATTAGCTACAGTCAGTGTTAAAAACATAACAATAGCCTAAGTTTACATGATGAAAGAGAAAGTACATGTTATATATATCATATATGGGTGCTGATAACTAAGCTGAGGGGGGTTTAGTCATCTCACAGCCCTGTAGCTATAGCTGCAATAAGGCTAGTTTGTCTCAGTGCACAGTAACTTCTGTTTTGCCAAGCCCATTGCATTAGAGATATAATAATAATAAACCTATAAGCTACTGAATTAAAATGTTCTTTATTCCTTTTGACAATAGATCTGGTTATTGAGCTTATGTAAAAATAAACTGCACCTAAATTGCGTTAAAGTGTAAGCACCTGATTTAGCTAGCTTGCAAGTAATTTCTTAAAATGCTCATTACAGATGGAAACCTTTAAATTCCTAAACCTGTAACCTTTTAGGCATAAGACATTGCCATTGCTACCACTAATTTCCCTGTTACCACTAGAACTATTTTAAACTTTATCTTCTTTAATATGTTTTGTTTAATGAAGCTTTAATAATGCATTTACTGTATTTTTTGAGAGACTGTATTTGTTAGCTATTACTCTAATTAGTTTAGTTTAAATTACTTATTCAATGACAGTTTCCTTATGATAAACTTTAGTGTTCAAGGCTGTTCTGTGTTTATAAATGTTAACTCTAGGAAATTAATTTTGTCCAAACTTCCTTGAGCTATATTAACAATAAAATATGTTTATGGCAATAAAATATATATTAACTTGTTTATATACTAAATTTGACAAATAATAAAGCTTAACTATTATGCCTAAATCTATCTGGAAAATGTTGTTCTATTAAGTAATACTTCTGTATAATTTTTTTATTTCTAAATCTCAATTTTATTGATTTTTAATTAATATTTTTTATTTGTTTTTGTAGGAAACGAAAGAAAATAAAGTATCCTATGAAAATAGAATATTTGGAAGTCGTCCACGGTTTTTAAGTTGCAATACAGATAACTATGAAAAAGAAGAATCCAATTGGGCAAAATTAAATGACCAAGATGATGTCTTTCCCACCAAAGAATCACAGTCAGAAAATCTTACCTCTACACCTGTAAATAAAGGAAGGAGTAACTCTGTAATGGAGTATTTACATAATCATTTTGTTCTTACTGAGAACACCAACAATACTCTAAATGATAAAAATTCATTTGAAGAAAAAAATAGCATTATAAATACATCAAATGAAAAAAGTTAATAAATAAATAACTCTATAATAATTTAAAAAATTGTTTCTTGTAAAATAATTAATTTTTAAATTTTATTTAGGTTCTAAAGTTGTTAATAAAACTCACAGTGAAGTTTTGCCAAATGAAAAGTAAAGTAAAGTTTTAATAATTAAAATAAAACCAAAAATTAAAGAGACTCTATAAAGTAATTTTTCTTTTATTTTTTTTTTTAAAAGAAGTACAGAAAATTTAGAAGCAGTAAAAGGTCAGAGTAGGAGATATTTAAAGAGGGAGAGTCGTGGTTTGAAAAGTCAGAGAAGCCGTTCAGATGGGGTATCAAAAATGGTACCGCCATTGCATATACGAGAAGAAAATTTGGGTTATTGGTCAGGACTTGATTTTCGAATTAAAAAAACCAATTCAAGTTCACAAGAAAAGAATTATCATCACAATCCTGTTTATTTACTTTTATCTGATGTGCCATCAATGAAAAAATATGAATCATTAGAAAGTATACAGAAAGATTGTCATTCTCCACTTTTGTCACGCCAGAGGCATATCAGTGAAAAAGGCAAGAAAACAAATTATATATTTAATTTTAAAAATCTTATAAATAATATAACTAAACATGCCTTATTTTAAAATTATACATATTAAATATATATTATTCTTTCTTTTTAGTTACTGAAACAAATTTATTATTACATTTATTATTGATAAAATAGTAATAATTTGTGAAATGAGATTGTTTCAATATGCTATATCAATTTTAATAGTTTACATAAGAATAAAATCTTTTTTTTTTATAGTGGATGTTATGAAATCCTTGACACTAGATGCTAAATCTGAAAATCAGTCAGAAAACAGAGACAATTTAAAAACAGATTACATTAGCTCTACTCCATTGAATGACAATAATGATGACTTGAATTCCACATCATGTAAAAATGGTGGTGTAAGTTGGGGAAAAGACAATAAAAAATCTGCAGTTCCTATAAAATTTTATCAAGATAATGAAGTAGATTGTCAAGTAAGTATGAAAGTACAATTTAAATTTTATCAGTATAAATTGTATTCATTAATTAAAATAATAATAAATTTGATTTGTAATATTTCTTTGTTTTGATCAAGCTTTCTTTGCATCATGTGGTACAAGTAAATATCTACAGTATTTGAAGTTAATACTGTAGTAAAAGTCTGCTGTAATTTTTTTTATTGATATAATTTTATTGATTAGGTAAATAAAGGAAAATTTTTGTCTGAAAGAATTGCATCTAAGTTTGACATTAACAATTATTAAATATTTTTCTTATGAGAGAAGTTCTGAAAATATGAAAATAAAATTTAAGAAACTTATTCTTATAATGATACAGGTATACTTCAAAAAGAGTGAATTCATTTCATACTTCTATTGAATTTAAAAACGTTATTAGAATTCATATAAATATAGATTTATGAAAATTGCATTTGGTATTCAATTTTTCTTATAACAATTTTTCTATATTTATGTACTGTTTTTTTTTCAGGTTAAATTGCATAAATTTTTAAAAAATTTTTGCCAAAAGCATAGTCTACTCATAATTAATACTTCTATTAATTATGTTGTTAATAATTTTATTCATCTTAAATATAATTTTTAACATTAAACTTCCTAAAAAAAGATTTTAAATTTAAGATGATTTAACATGATAAAATTTGAATAAAGAATCATATTCTAGACTTGTTACAAAGAAATAAATATCTAAAATTAATGATATTTTGTAAATAATGATATATAAATTTTTATTAAAATAATTTTTTCATTCACAAGTTTTTATTAAGTTAATATCTACAATTTATTCTTAATGTATAGAATTTTATATTGTAAACCATCATTGTTAATAAATAGACATTTTATAGAATGTATTTTATCGTGTAATAATTTATTTTTTTATTTATTTTCAAATGTTAATTTTACTCAGGTACGAGGAGATCCAGACGGATGTGGATTAGATGGAATTTCTGTATGTTGCTTGTCAAATACAGAAAACAGATTAGAAAGGAATTCTGAAGTATGTGTTTTTTTTTTTTTGTTCATTTTGTTAATTTTGTAAACTCATTAATTACATAATTTCCAGTAATAGTTTATTTATGAAAAGAATAATTATTTGATACATTAATTTTAATTTTTGCAGGATATTTTTCTAAAGAAAGGATGGTTAATGAGATATAACATTATAAATGGGTGGTGCAAACATTGGTTTGTTTTGCAAAATTCATCACTTGCATATTATCAAGACCCAACAGCTGAAGAATCTGGAGTTTTAGATGGAGTTATTGATATTGGATTAGTGAAAAGTGTTGTTGAAACAGATTCTGACAGAAATTATGCATTTACAATAACAGTAAGAATTTATATATATATTTTAAAATTTTAATGTAAGATGAGTAGTTTAATCTTAATAATTTCTAGAACCAATTATTTAAGGTAAAAAAATATGTTTTATACAGATATACAGCATAAACTGTAGATACTTGATCAACAGATCTGGAGTACAAATGTCACTTCAAAAATTTATTATATGATACATAAATATAACGTCTCAATATTTTTCAGATGGCAGATGATAAAAAGCATCTTTTATCTGCAGTCACAGCTGGGATTAGAAACAATTGGATTCAAGCATTAGTTCATATTGGTAGTATTTGGAACAATAAGAAAGAGACTCTTGTTGATCTGAAGAGTAATTCAGAAATAAATGCTGATAATTATTCTAAAGAAAATTCGAATAGAACAGGAACTCCTCCTAGTCCAGCTCCTTCTTTAGATGAACCTGATAAAGCTTTGGATGTTTCATCAAGTGATGATCATTCAGAATATTTTTCTGTCGTGGATGAAGGTGAATTTATAGGTAGGTCTTCATCTCCAAGACAACTTCCTCCTTCTCCACCACTGAATAGGACAGCCATATCTCGTGTAAAGGAAAGAGCACGATCAAGATCAAGCTCCAGATCAAGAGCTAGTCATCAGTTTTGGTCATCTGGTAGTGAATCACATCAAATTGGAATTGATGTGGAACATAGTGATGGTGGAGTTAGTGATAATTCAAATTCAAGTTTCCATGGTGTGCTTTCACTTTCTGATCGGAAAGGAATATATTATGTGAGTAAATTATGAATCTAAAAATAAAATTATTTATTGCTTTATAAAACAACAACACTAGTTTAATTTTTGTCTAATTTAAAAAAATTTTTCAAAATTAGATAATATAAATAGTTATATGTTTCCCAAATATTTGTTTTAAATCTGTAGCTTTAATTATACAGTGGAACCTCACTTAATGAGCATAATTTGTTCCAGAATCTTACTCATAATGCAAAACACTCATTAAGCAAAACAATTTTTCCCATTGAAATTAATGTAAAATATGATAATGCATTCCATGCCGAAAAAATACTCAAATATTTTATATATAACATTTATTCAAAGAAAATTACACAATATACATTGTTAAGAAGCATGAATCATCTTCATCTTTTCTTCTAGTGTGGAATGAACAAACCTGGAATGCAAATTCGATTTGCAGAAAACAAAAAATCACAGATAATGTCTGATGAAGATGCCAAACGATATGCTGAATTCTTGGGCTATGTAAAGGCTATAATTAAATATTAGAAATCAGTTAATTTGACTAGAGATAGGCAGTTATGCTGCCATCTCGTATTAAATTTAATAATGTCTAAATTAAAAATTAATTATTTATAATTTCTAAAATTTAATTTGGAATTGGTCATTAAATTTAGTACAAGATGGCATGTTTATTATATAACTGGCTGTGATTATCAATGCTTATATGTAATATATATGAACACAAGTTTGGAAAAATATGTGATCACAAGCAACACTAAGATGCTAGCAGAACGAGTGCTAAACACAGGCTGATGGAGCATGCATATAATCCGGGATTTCCCCTCTCCTTGTCACTCATTATGCAAAACATCGCTTGTTAATTAAGCAAGTCAAATTTTTACAATTTGTTTTGCTCGTTATATGAAATACTCATTATGTGAGGTGCTTGTTAAGGTTCCACTGTAATTTATTTTCTAAAACTTATAACTTTAAAATAATTTTTTCCATTCTAAACCATTATTGAGTTAAAGATCATTGTTTTATCAATTTCCAAAATCTTAAAATGATGCCATGCATGCATAAATAAACCTCAAAACCCAATAAATTTGTAAAACCAAACATCCACTAGATTACATTGGGCTAATTTTTTGCAATTATATTTAATTAATTACTAAATAGTTTGTCACTAGAGAGAGGTGTTAGGCCCCATCTCTTATTAAATTTAATAACTATAATTAAATTAATATTCTGGAAGAAAAGAATTGGCCTGGAGTGGGACTCAAACCTGCAACTCCCACTTACTGTGCAGATGTGTTGCCAGTTACGCTACCCGAGCCTCTGGTCCAATCTCTCCTTCCAGACATATTTTAAATATGATATAATCATCCTCGGTTTCATATGGTGCTGACTGGGGATGCCTTCAGTGCCCTTGTCCTATCATGCCATTAATCATTCGTAAATTACAAGCTGTATTAACTTGGTTTTCTTGATTACTATATATTGAGAAAAATAAATTAAGAATTTCCCTTTCTTAATTTAACAATTTTCAAATTTTATAATTGTTTTAACAGATTACATTTGAATTTCACATAAAAATATGTTTATTTAGTAGTGAATAATAATTGTAAATTCATAATAGAATAAATTTAAAAATATTTAATGTGTGTTGTTATTGATAGATAAATAAGAAATAATTTATTTTAACTTTTAATTAAGTCCACAATAATAATTTTCAGTTTGTTACAAATTTAAAATTTATACATTGTTTAATTTTACTTATAGAGAATTAAATAGAAAATTAACATTTTCAGTTCTTAATAATTCCTATTAATTCATATTTCTATTAAAGAAATGATTTTTATATGTATTTTTTTCTTGACAGGAACATTCCGGCTTGATGGCTAGTGATAATGATGATAATCATCCGACAGATGATATTATAATAAACAATAAAAATGAGAAGAGGAAAACAAATGATTCTAATAGAAAAACGAAATATTTGGAAAGGCACGATGGAAACAAAGAGCAAAAAATGAATTTGCTTGAAGAACACTGCCGTGAACTTGAAATTAAGCTAAAAAAGAAAGAGGAAGAAGTAGGAGAAAAAGCAGCAGAGTTAAATAATTTAAAAAGTTTAAAAGGAAGTTATCACGACCTTGTCGAGAAATACAATAGCTTGAAGAAAAGGTTGGAAGACTGTGAAAAGAAGGTTTCTACAAATAATGAAGGAAAATCATATAGGTTAAAATATGAATCTTTAAGAACAAAATATAAAAAAGAAAAAGCAGAATGGGAAAATAAAGCAATTACTTCAAATAAAGATGTAGACAGCGAAGATATTTTAATAATTTTGGAACAAAATAAGAAACAGTTGAATGAATTGAAAGCAAAGCTCGAGAAATCTCCATTAAAGAAAGATACCTTATGGTCTACTTGGAAGGAAAGTACTAAATTGTGTGAAGAAGTGGAACTTCTAGCAGAGAATGAAAAGAAATTTAAGAAGGATATTGAACTGATTAAATTGAGAAACAGTGTTGCTGATTTGGAAGTATTGTGTGGTACAAAACAGGAAGAATTAGAAAAGCATAAGCGAGAATTACGAAAAGTTTATGGAAACTTGGAAAAGAAAGAAAATGAAATTGGTTCAATATCTAATGAATTAATGAAGGCAATAGAAGAAAATCGCTCCATTAAAGAAAAGATAAAAAGTTTAGATGATCATTCAAAGAAATCAGATTTTGTTGATATACAAAAAGATCAAACTTCACAAGATTCAATTGGCTATGAGGCAAATTCAAAAGAATATGAACTGACAGGCAAATATGATAGAGCTAAGGAAGAAATAAGAAACCTAAAAAAACAGTTAAGAGAAGCACACAATGCTTATGATGAGCTTGAATTACATTGTTTCAAACTTGAGCAGGACATGAAAGGAATGGAAGAGTTACATCATTCTCAAATGGCATTAATGACAGCAAGAGTCGATGATTTAACTATGAAATTTACAACGTCTGAACGTAATTTGAGAGCTCTTCGTCAGAAACTGGCTAAAGTCGAAGCAAAACAAGAAAGAAGACGTAGCTCTCTAAAAGGAAAAGAAGCATTAAATTTAAGCAAAGAATATGAAGTAAAATTAACCGAACTAGAACAAAAAATAACTACTTTGGAAACTGCTCTGCAGACCTCTCCAGAATCAGAAGTCAACTGTAGAAGCAGTAATGAAAATGAAAATGCAGATAGCTTAGAGTCACCTTCCTCTTGTCAGAAAAGCTTACAGAAGAGAAGGTCGTCTCAAGATTGTGGAGAGGCCCATGGAATGCTTTTGAGACTACATAATTTAGACACAAAAGTAAAAAAGGCATCTTCTCTAGTAGACAAACTAAATCAGTCTAATAGTGAATCTGTTTCAGAAAAACCAAAAATATTATTACAAGTAAAAGTTAGCGATGGAACTGACGTAGCTGAAGAAAGCGAAGAATGGAGTTCATTATCAGTGACGGCAAGCATGACCGATTTAAGCACTATCGATGGAGGAGAGCTGGATCATCCGCAGTCAGGAAAAGAATGTTTAGATCATCTCAGTAAAAAAGTTAAATCTTTGTTATCCTGGTTGAAAAATGTATTAGAAAATTTGAGAAACCAAGAAATATCTTCAAATACAGAAAATTATCCAAAAACCGATACCGAAATGAACAAAATCATTGATGTGTTAGAATATATGTGTTCCGTTGATACCGAAAAATTATTTAATTCAACCAATAAAGAAGAAAAAGAATTTTTTGCCATTATATATAAACTGTTACTTATACAAGAAGTTGCAAGGACTTTATGTAAACTAAATGATTTTGAAAAATATAAATATGAATTAATTAGGCAATATTTGATAAGAATAAATCATATGCTTATATTCTTAGAACAACATCTAAATCATATTTCAGAAAAATCAATTTCGGGAAATAAAGAAATTCAAAACGATTCAAATAATATAATAAAATTCACTAAAAAACTATTTTCCTGTGATCAAGAATCTGAAAGCTTTCTGTTTAATGAAAATTCCAAAGAACACAGATATAAAGAAATGTGTAATCATTTGTGTGAAAATTTTGAAATTGTGGATCAAAAAAGTAAAAGTTTATCGGAACTGACGAAAAAATTTGTAAATACAAGGCAGAAAGAACTCTTTGATTATTTAAATGATGGTTCTACTAAAATAGTCGGTCATTTAAATTTAGAAAATGACCAAGAAATACTACTTTCCGAAATGAATTCTATAGTATCGCAGATTGTAGGACAATTGGAAAATCAGCTTTTAGTAATTGAAAATCAACAAACAAGTTTTCTTAAATACGAATGGGAAGTTTTTTATGCATTAAATTATTCTATTTGTAAATCCGTTAATCAGCACACGACCAACTTTTTATCCGAGATGAGAGAGATTCTTTTAAAATCGCAAGAAAATTATTATGGTGCTTCTCATTTAAAATTTTTTACTGACGTCGTAAATGAAATAGCTTCGATAATAGTGATGAACAGCATGATAATCGGAAGTGTAGCATTTTTAAAAGACAGTATTGATAACATTCAGCATATGTCTTCATTTGGCAGTGTAGATATTAACAGTAATAAAGTAAACGAAACCGTAATATGCGAGAGACTTTCTTCTTCGGCCAAGTGGTGCCTTGGACTTTTTCAACCCGTGTCTATTCAAAATATTTTGTGTAGTTGGTGTTGCAATAGAGTTTGTGCCAATTTAAATGTTGAAATGATGTGTAAAGAAAACACTAAAAATCTAACTAGTTTAAAACAAAAGTACAAAGATGATTTGGAAAGAGAGAGAAAAGCAAATAGTGAAAAACTGCAATTATTGGAATATGAGTTAAATAAAAAATATGAATGTGAAAATTGTCAAAAAGCAGAAGTAGAGATTCAAGAACTTAAGAAAAGCCTTGAAAGGAACATTAAACAAAGCAAATCTTGTGACAATTGTGAGAAATTAACCAGAGACTTGGAAAGTCTTTCCAAATGCTTGGGTGATTTAAACTTAACAGTTGAGCAAGAAAGAGAACTTTCCAGAAGGAATGCTGAGGAAAAATTAAAACAGGTATATATTACTTTAAATCCAATTTTGTAGGAAATTAGATACATTTTAAAAGATAAAAAAAATCTTTTAGGAGAAAGACCATGGTGATGAAATGGAAAGAATGAAGCGAGAATTGCTTTTTGCGCAGAAACACATTCAAAATTTAAAGGTAAAGCCTTAAAATCTAAATTGGAAACAAGATAAACTTTTAAATGTTCTGTTCTTAAAATTTATATTTTATAAACATTATTCATATAACTTAATAATCACACAAAACACAAAGAAAAAACTGTTTTTGATTTAACGGTGGCTTTTAAATATGGAAAAGAATTTTAATTTTTCTATCAATATTCATTAAACATTTTTTAAAATCACTTTTATCTTCTAATTATTAATTAGAGATTCAGACTATGTACAAAAAATTATTTAATTTTTGAGTCTATCAATTCATCCTTTTTCACACACCACAGAAGTAGCCTTTTACATCGGTTTGAAGAAATCACTTCATAAAAAACGTATAACAATAGGTAAAAATTTACAATTAAAAACGATCAGACGTCAGCCTTTCATTTTAGGTATCTGACGCCTTTACATTAAAATTAAGTAAATCTTCTCACCAACTGCCAAGTTTTATACCTTCAGTATCAGGTTCAAGCCCTCTAGTGGTGACGTCTGATCGTTTTTAATTGTAAATTTTTACCTATTGTTATACGTTTTTTATGAAGTGATTTCTTCAAACCGATGTAAAAGGCTACTTCTGTGGTGTGTGAAAAAGGATGAATTGATAGACTCAAAAATTAAATAATTTTTTGTACATAGTCTGAATCTCTAATTAATAATTAGAAGAAAAATATCCTGAGCTCATCATGAAATTGTCACTTTTATCTTGATAGATTTGAATTTGATTCTGTTTATGTTTAGCTTATCAAATTCAAATATTATTTTTATAAACAGAAATAAATAGAATTTGAGTTTTTATATTTTAGCAATAATGAAGTAATCTGAAACTATGTTTAAGTTCAAATATTAATTATTTTAAAAACGTGAAAATATCCCAAATTTTCTATGATAATTAGATGTAATATATGTATATAAAATCTGAAAGAGATCACAATTTGGAGAATTCAGTGTGTATAATATAAAGCCCAAATTATATTACCTAACTGAAGACTAAATGCTAGATTATACACCTTACTTTAGTCAAAAATAAATATTAAATGATGCCACCATCTTGTATTAATCTTATATTTAGACCAAATTTCAAAATTAACTAAAAGTTAATCACATTATATTATGAAATAATCTTATGTGAAGTAATATTTTATTGAATCATTATTAAAAGGAAGAGATTGAGTAGTTTTAAAACATTGTATTTTCATGGAGGAAGATGACTTAATAGCATAAAGTTGTGGAGATTAGACAAAATTTCTATGAAGCATTTCTGAAAAAATTTAAGAATTTTTATATGTATCACTATGAAGTCTTATTTTTGTTCTATATAGAACAAAATTAGAATTTGTATATTTGTCAAAAGTTGATATATTTAACTTCTAATGAACTGATTGAACAGTTGCACAATCACTGAAAGAAGATGAACAGGCAGTTTGTATACCAATGTAAACCTAGCTTAAAAATAACCTAAAAAATTATCTTATTGTGAATTTTTGTAGTAATAAGTATGTACATCATTATAATAATGTAAATATATTTGATTTATTATATCTTTCTTTATCAAATACTAAATTTTTTATAAAAAGTTATGTTTCTTGTAATGATATACGTTTGGCATATGCAGACAAAACTCACAAAGAAAAAAGCAAACAGTAGAAAAGTTAAAGTGCACAAACTGTATAGCACTGAGGATGTGAATGTTTTGGATGTTGGCTAATTTTTGGCTTAGATTAATTTCTCAATTAAGTTTTTCTCTCTTTTAAAATTAAAAAATTTTGATAAAAGTGTTATTATTCTGCATTATTCTTATTGCTATTTTGAATTTCCTGTAAATAAGTTAACTTGTTTTCTGATTTTATATATAACATTTTGATAACATTTAGCATATTCAGTTTTAAAGATCATTATAAATTTATGAAAAATTTAAAATTTTTTATAATTATTCTGAAAACTTGAAACATACCTTACTTTTTTTGCAATAAAAGATTCTCCTAATTATCATTTTTTTGTTCTGAAACAGTTTACTGTATTAAGAATATATAGTAGAACTTTATTTATTTTAATAGGAAGAATATGATTCACAAATTTCAAGTCTTCAAAGTGCATATGAACAGAAGCTATCTCAGAATGTTGACGTAATTAATGAAGAAGCAGTTCGAAAGCGTTATCATTCTGAAATTGAACAGTTAAAAGTAGTTATTATTTATTATGCTTCATCATTTTATAATAAATAGTTTTAAAGCTTTAAAACTAAAGCAAAATTTTTATAGTGTCTTTGTTGTAACGGCCTTACTGTCATGGAAAAGTTCCATCAACACACTGTTGCCGAATTAGAAAGAAAACATAGAGAAGAAATTGCTTCGTTAGAACAGGAAAAAGAAAAAGCTCTTGCTGAAGAAACTCAAGCTACGTTGACAGGTAGTTGTTTGGATTTTATTCTTATATTCCATAATCTTCAAAGATATTTATAACAGATGTAAATATTGAAACATGTGGTTTTCTTTGTAGGTATGACCTTTCCATTTGTTTAAAATTCAATTTAGCAGCAAAATTTAGTTGTGAAGACTCGTAAAAAGATAGTAACACTTTAATTCTATAAAATAAACCTTCTTTTCAAATGTCTGTAATTATTGAAATTATTTAAATAATTTTAATATAATTGTTTTCCTTTGGAAATTATCAATTAAATATGAAACCTAAAATATATTTTTAAAAATTGCATTTTGAAGACATGTTTATTGAATAGATTTATCTGCTAGTAGCAATTTAAATTTTTAATTTTTCATTAATATTTATAAATAACTCAACAAAAACACATTTTTCTGTTGTACTAATTTTATTATATACTGTATTATGATTTATCATTTATATTTATTTACTGTTATGCTTTATAATAGCATATATCTTATATTACTTACTCAACAAAAGTTTAAAAAAATAATTGTGCTATGTCATAATAAATTTTTGTTAGAAATATTGAAACAAAGTATTCAGATTAAGTAATGACTTTTTTCCCTTCGTCTTAATGTTTACAGCAATTAATATGATGATTTTTCTAATTTATTTGAGGCAAAACATTAAAATAATGACAAAGAATTTTTACTATCATAAACAAGTCATTATAAACAATATATTATCATAAACATAAGATTAATTCTTAGGTTGCTAATTGAAGAGAACATATAGATATGACAGGAAAATAATTATCTTCTATTGTCTGAAAATTAGTTTTAGTAATAATGTGATATAATTCACTTTTTCACAAGAAATTTTTTTTGTTTATAAAGTAAAAAAGAAACTACATGATGATTATCTTCAATTCTTTTGTGTACACATTTCGTGTTTTTATAATTAGTCTTGTATGTCTGACTTTTAACTGAAATTTTTTATGGGTAAATTTTAAATAGTAAATGCTGTAAGTATTAGGGAATTCTCATTATGAGAATATGATAAGTCGATAAACAAATTGAAATTCCATAGTACAAACTTCGCAATGCTTTTAAATATATATAAGAAAAGTAATATTTTCAAGTTGATTCTATATAAATCAACAGACAGAAAAAGTTTATAAAGATTTTTATTAAACATGTTTTAAATATATGCAAATTTATTCTAATATTTTTAAGTTTAAAGTACGAACTATAAAGTACATTTATTGACTTGAATTCTCCTTATCCTGGAAGAGAGTACAAATAAAGGCAAAATAATTATGATTGAGTTAACAGTATTAACAAATTAAAATAGAGTTTACAGATTTTACAAAACATTAGATGCGAAAACATGATAAATTGTTTTAATTAGTAGATGGAGTTAACAAGTACTATCACATTTCTAAATTTATTATTTAAAATTTTAAATACAAACTTATGAAGTTTATTAGAAAAAGAAGTTTCTTGTTTACTTTTTCCACTTTATTTTATTTTTTGTAGCTTTGATTTCTGAAACCATCTGATTTATTTAATAAAAATTCTGTCTTAAAGTTGATAGATATTTTTATAATAATCATAATCAAATCTTTGTTTGAAAGATTAAAATAATAATAGTTTATAAATATATGTAAATTATAAGGATTTATAAAGAAAATTAATGTTATATTAATTCTAATATGATATTAAAAATATTATCTATGATGTTTTTTTTATATAACTATAATGTCTGAAATTTTGACATTACTTTTTTAGCATTAGAAGCTTTAAAGAAAGCTCATAAGGCTGAACTTCAGAATGAAATTATTAAGTTTAAAGAAAATTATATACAAAAAATGCAATTAAATAATGAAAATAAAAATTCAAGAAAAGAGTATGAGTGAGTATTGTTTTTATATATTGAATTTCTAAGCCAATGAGATTTAGTACAGTAGAAAGATTAAAACAAATTTCTTTTTTAACGAAGGTATGAATTGGGAGAAATTAGACAAGATATACTTTCCTTATCAGAAAAATATTCTGTGAAATGTCTGGAGAATGCATCGTTAGAAGAGAAATTAATTGCTCTTCAGTGCCAACTGCAAGAGTCAAATTTTCAGGTTTGTCATAATTGTTTATTAATAATAATGTTTTCACATTAAATATACTCTAATTAAATTTGTATAAAACTATAATGAAATAATTTTGTGTGGGTTTTTTTTAGCTCTTTGACTTGATTGCAAGGAATAAGCAGTTGAGAGCCTATTTAGCTTCTGATATTGCACAGAAATTAGACATACTTCAAAATGGTAGTCAACTTGATGAAATGGAAAAACTAAAAGTAAGTTTTATTAATACTTTAATTTGGTGATGAATTAATATAATTAGATTTTCATTATGTTGAATTTATTTGTAATTGGATTTAGTGTTTTTACTAAAAACTTTGATTAAAGAATGAATGAAATGATATTTTAGGAAATACATGATGAATGTAATCAATTTAGTCATTGCTTGCATATTTACTAATTTTTCATACTGAGTATAGTTGAATAAAATATTTTAATATAAACTTTTGTGCATTACTTGGCTTCTCAAATTAATAAATATAGTCATGCAACTTTATATTTTATCTTGCTAATATAATACATTTGTTTTGGTATAGCTTTCTTAATTACTATTAGTAGTGATTTTAGTAATTTTTCTCCTCTTCAGCTTCATATGAGTTAACATTGAAATATCTAAGTAAATAATGCTATTTTTTTTAAGATTTAATTTTACTGATAATTCTTATGAACTAAAATTCAAAATAAACCATGATTACAAAAGGTGAATAATAAATCATATTGAAAACATTGGAGCTGTCAATTAAAATTGCTGCAGAATAAATATTTGTGTATTGCATTATTCATTTGATGCATGCATGCATATACCTACTTTCTTAATCTTAAATGCTGATACATTCAGTGAAATATAATTTTTATCTATATGCCATTTGTTTACATCTGTTTTTTATTGAAAAATATCAAATTTTATATATTTTTTTAATCTAAAATCTACTATTTCATTGATATCTTCTAGTTGATGAAAGATTTATAATTTTATTCAGCCTTAGTTTATTTTTATCACTATACTATGCTATTTTATTATATATTTGATCATTTTAAAATATTTAATTTCTTAAATTCAACAGAAAATTTATATAAATGTCAATACTTATAATTTTAAGTTGCATCTATTTCATTTAGATGTCAGAATTTTGTGGATATTTTTTCATATCTAATTTATCTAAAAACAAAATCATGTTTATAAATAAAATTCTCTTTATTACGAATTATTTTATAGAGTAAAAGCCAAACAAATTATACAAGTAGATATGAAAACACAATAGAACTTCTATTTAATGAACTTTTCATTGGGATTCTGCTGTTGAAGTTTTTTTTTCCTGTTCTATTCTATGAAACAAAATTCTGTTTTAACAAAATAGAAGAAGTTTGAGTTTGTATGGAAATGTATGACTAATTCTTTTCACATAGTAAATAGTATTTCTTGGAAGTTAAATTGTCTATATTAGTAATTAAATCAATAAATATGTTTCATTAAATTGGACATTTTTGGCTTGATTGCTCTGATTAAACTGTACATTAATGTTTTTATATTACAATTATCCTACAACATAGTTTATTACTATTATCTAATTGTAGCAGAAATAAAAAAATTTAAATAAAAATATTATCTAATAGATTTAGATTTTGTCCCTAGGAAATTTTTCTAAAAAGGTGAAAGGCAAATCCTGGAGCAACATAACTTTTGGCAAAAGACCAACAAAAGATCATGTTGTAAACTTACTTTTCCTAAGCCAGAAAAGTTTTATGCAATATGCTACTGGATTTTTTTAATTGGATAAACATTAGCCTGACAACAACTAGGCAATGGATCCAATTTTTAAAATATCTTTTAAAAAATTATTGGTAGTAATTAAAAAGTATTACATAATCCAAACATTATTTTTGAACATCACAGATATATATGCTGTGGCAGAAATGATTACACAACAGAAATAATTTTAGATTAATTTATAAATCTAACAATACATTTAATTTATCAAAACTTGCTGTGTGTTATGGTATAATTAATAGCTTGAATTAATGCAACTTAATTGTTAATATAAAATATCTTTTATTATGTTTTTTAATTTTTATTATATATAAGCATGAGCATGTATATGACTATTTGATTTGCTGTTTTTTTTTTTTTTAAATTAACTAAGTGAAATGTTTATGTAGTTTTAGTCTAATATTGCAAGTTGTAATTTTTTAAAAATATTTTATTCTAAGTCACTCTGATGGGAATAACAAATTATCATACAGTTAATGAGATATTTATGTTTAAAATTATCAAATAAACTCAAAATATTTTAGGCTCAATGTAATATGTCTTAATTAGCAATTTCTGGTGTCACGATTCTTGTTTGTCACTAAATCATTTTAATGATTTTTATTCAAGCAACATTTGTAACAGATAATATCTGAGATCAACTTAGCTCAATCTCAGTCTACAGTCGTGTCTTAGATACTCAATGAAAACTCCAGAAAAAGTTGTGCAGTCTTTCAAGAAATGTTGCATTTCTGATGCAATTTATCCTCACTGCCATTTAAAGCATTTGGTAAAGATGAGAATACTGAATTCAGTGTTGATTTTAAAGTCTAGCATGGAAAGTAAAGTTTCTGACTGGTAATTTGGAAGACAGTGATATATTTACTTTATTTGTAATAAATACTGAATAAATTTTGTCAACAGAGGTGATTCTGTCAATATAAATTTATTCAGTGTTTTTGTCTAGAGATGTCTTTTTTCAAAAAAAAAGAGCATGTAGAAATTAAGGTGCATCATAGATTTGAAGTAAACTATGATAATAGGTTTATAATTGTCAACTTCTCGTTTATTAATGGCATCAGGCATATAATTATATGAATACCCTTACTATACAGTTCAACTATTATATATAGCTATTACATACACTTTATAATACTGTGAGATTTATTTTACAAATAGAATTTTAGAATTTGATTTAGTAATATTTTACAAGATTTTAAATAATTGCAGAAATTACTTAGTCTTCGAGAGGGGGAATTAACAAAACAACAAGAAGAAATTGCTCAGTTGAAACAAGAACTCCATCTGGCACAAACAGTTAGTATTAACTTTTGCATATTCTTCATTATATAATAATTTAATGATATATCAGCAATAAATGATGATTTTCTTTATGCTGTTAACTTCACTTCTAAGAAATTTACAGTATATTTGTTTTAATCCTTAGCATGCAGACACTTTAGATAGTCATTGCAAGCAACTTGATAACAGTTTGAAGAGTGAACGAACACAAAGAGAAGAAGAAATAAAATCGTTGCAGTTACAATTAAAAGCTGTATTGTCTAATTCTTCTTTGGGTAAATATAATTCAAATCTTTTTCATTTTTATTTACAATTTTCATTATATTTTGACAAAGAAAAAATAATATTTAGGATTCCAAGAAGGTAACGATGCTTGTTCTTCACCAAGCAAACAGTGCAAAATTGCAGTTACCTGTGGAAGAGGTAAATTAAATTCTGTGTAGAAAAGCCAATTTGAAATGTAAAAAATCTGTAAATGTCCATTAATGTAAATGTCTATTTTATTTGAAGAGTTGGCGAGGTCAGTGAGCTATCCTTCGCTCCACAGACTGCCGGTGCTGACGGCTCCCCAGACTACGTCTGGCACTCCGACTCAGAATGACGACGACTGGTGAAATCCAGCGAACACACACTGCACATTGTAGAAATATAAATTGCCACTCTGTATAGCAAAAGCCAGTAATTTTAACCGTGTACAGAAATATACAAGATTTACACCCAAGCCCCGTGGGCTCTACCAAAAAAAAAATCTTGTACAGATCGTCTGACGGGTGTTTCCACGAGAATGCGCGACTCAAAAGATTTGGTTTAGGAACACTGTAGTTTATGTAAATTGTAAGAATATACCAATAACAATTTATAACAAGAACTACTCAAAAGTTTAATTTGCATTCACATGTAACAATATTACTTTTCATTAAACAAATTGTCCATAATAAAAAGAAATTAAACTAATGGTGTAATTTATTTGCTGTTTCTTGTTTTTGTTGAATTAGATTTCTCAGTGCAATTGGTGCCAACTGAAGTGGTGTTTTCTTTTCCTAACAAATGAAAAAAATATATTAATAAATAACTTTTTGATCCAAACATCAATATTAATCAGGATAAATCTTACCCCGTTACCCCGATTAGTCTTATCTGTTTATTCAGAATAAATTAAATTGCAATGTGACATCATTTTTCCAGTTAATTCCAGCAGAAGACTAGTGACATGAATCATGGCATTAAACTGGGTTGCAGAAAAGATCAATATTCTAACAACAACTATGGCTAGTTGCAAGAGTTTAAACTGCATTTAACCTTGAGATTAAATGCACAGAACTACAGGTTAAAACTTCTTTTCTGATATTAACAAGTCTTTTAAAATTTAATGATTTTCCACAATCACATGCACACCAAAACAGGGTTTGTAGTATTTTAATGGCACTATTTGTTAAGTTGACAAAGTCAAACTTAAAAATAATCATTAAATCTATTGAAATTAAGTTGTGTATAATATATTTTGTGATATTCAAACTGTACTGCTACTGATATTTCTATGTTAAATTCATTTATTTAAAATTTTGTATATTTTGAAATTTCTTTGATGCATCATCAATTATGATTTTTAAATGGATTTCAGTAGCCATTTTCTCTAATTTAACTGTTAAAGCAAGTTAATGGGGACAATATGTTAAATCATTCAAAAATGTAGTGCTTTCATCACTACATTTATTCTGACCCACCTCTTATAACAAATCCTGGCAAATTGCCAGTTCTTTAAATTTTAGGAAAGGAAAAGAAATTAACTGAATTAAAAAAATAGTTCAAACATTCAAGATTGGAGAAAAGGCTAAAGCTAGGGACTCAAGGGTCAGTGAATTAATAACACAATCACTCATAAGACAAAAGTATATACTTTTGATTACAGTTCTCTTTTTTTTGTTTAAACTCATGGATAAGGAAATTGTTTTTTTAATTGTAATAATTAAAAAACAATCCTTTTCAAGACTAAATTCACCAAATGTTTTAATTCATTTTGTACTAAGAAACAAGAAAGCTAAGAGTAAAAACTTTTTTGATTTTAAAACTTAAGGAATTTCAGAGGTTTCCTAATGCTTACAAATGGAAATTCGTCATGCAAGGCCAGAAAAGGAGTGTCCTGGTAGTTTTTCTTAATGACATTTATTTAATCAGTTCTTCATAAACTTGTGATTATAATAATCCATGACATCATCATGAATGAAAGATTCTGAACTCAATAAATTTATCTTGAATAATGTGATTCAAACCTGGATTCGGTAGATTTCTGTTTTACTGGATGTCCATCTGGTTATAATATTCTGTGGGATAACTATTTAACACAAATGTATAAAGTACACATTAAAATTACACCATACATTATTCTATTAGTCCATTAACTGTGCTAATGCAAAATGTTAAAAAAAAATAAAATCTTAGTACCTACTGGATCTGATCTGAGGTTACCAAATTGGGCTTCTCTAGTTTCTGATATTGAGGACTATTCACTGTGGTGAAAATCTGATTTGCATGTATTTTTTTGTAATATATTTAGTGGTGTTAAATAAGTATTCCATATTAAACCTTTAAATATGTTACAACAAATGTTTTCCATCCCCTTGGGACCTGCGTCAGGTCAAAAAATGTTCAATATAATTAGAATGCTTTTTTGACAATCCAGACAACATACTAATTCACTTAATTTTTTTTATATGTTGTCTGGATTGTCAAAAAAGCATTCTAATTATATTGAACATTTTTTGACCTGGAGGTGGAGGGGATGGAAAACATTTGTTATAACATCTTTAAATTATACCAGCAAATATAATTTAAATGTTTTAGTGGTGTTATTTAATAGTGTTCTGAATTTTCCAAAGCCAGTTATAGTCTGTAAGCAATGCTGGCTAAGATATATTGAAAGTTAGTGCTAGCCCTAATGAGAGTCAAAGCTAAATTCAACTTCTTACTAGAAAGAGACATTGCCAAAGGATCAAAGTTTTCCATTTTTCCATATACATCTACCAACGGAATGTCAATCTCCCCTTCCAAGATTAAGATTATTATGCCTAAGGAAAGCCATTAGAATGACCACATGAGAGATGTACTCCAAGCTCAATAATTTGGTTAAGTTTGAGAACCACCTATTTGACCAAGACCCAAACACAGTATATCAGTCTGTTGACTTCATACAGTCTTGTATGCTGATAACCTAACACCCTACAAAATAGATATGGCAAAAAGCTGAGATGGATCTACACAAAGCAGAAAAGGGACAAAAGTGATCACAGATATGCAATTAATTTGATGGGATAGTATCTCTCCTCCAAATTTTCTCATCAATACCATGAAACTAGGTCCCATATTACTCTGGGATATACAGCAAGTCTGAACATATGATACCAAATTTAGAAAGACTTATTTCCTGTATGAAAGAAAGTTACAAAGAATTCTACAGATGGAAAGTGGCATTTAAAGCCAGAAACTTAAAGAGCGATCAACAAGATGCACTTTTCTGGAATGATCTCTACAGGAATAATCCTGTAGAGATCATTCCAAAGTGGCTGGCGGACATCATCATCATGGTTTTAAAGGCTGATAAGAATAAAACTTTAGTATTATTGAAGACAACTATACACAAGGGGATGTTGAATCAATACATTATTGACACAGAATGTGAACTAATCAGTGAAGGGTATATAGACAGCTTACAAGCATGTGTCACCAAATTCATACATTCCCTCACCCCAGAAAATTAAATTTGAATAGGGCAGTAGTATGAACTACTGATACCCCTAGGTTGTTTGCTTTTTCCAAAATGCATAAACCAAGTACCTTGTTAAGACCAATAGTATACAAAGCCAAATCACCCATCACCCACTTAGTAAATGGTGTACCTCATCATCTAACATCACATTTAAAAAATTATAAATTTACAATTCAAAATGCACAAGATCTAGCAGAATTACAAAATATTGGATTAACTAATAACAAACACATCACAGTTTTACTTTTTGTATCCTTATATCCATCTGTTAAATTAGAGCCTTGCTTCTGTGCCTTACAGGATTTGTTATTCCAGGTAGTTTAAAGCTCTGTACACTACCATCAAATTTTAGAATTAGCTCACATGCTATGCCACACTTCATGTTTTCAATACAATAACAAAATAAACTTACAAAAAATTTACCTATGCAAATTAGTGATACGCAACTTAGAACACAATATTCTACCATCATTCCTTCATCACATAGAAGAGATATATTGATCACTTGGAGAGCTGAGCCAGATAACTTCATACAATGCATTAACTACAACCCTTATAGTCTTACACTTAACCTAGAATAATTCAGCGACAAACACGCCCACTTCCTAAATCTGAACATCTATCTTAAAAATGGCCAGATTGAAACATGTTTACTATGAACTAGGGTACCAGCCATTATTCATAATGGCAGCCTCACATGATCTTTATACATACAAAATAGCAGTGTTTAGAGCACTTACAAAAAGAGCCTACACCCACTGCACATAGATTGTTAGCACAAGGCAAGAATTAAAACATAGAAAAAATAGCAGTAGTACACGGTTAACCTAGAACAGTGGTGCAAGGTTTAGCAGAGAACTATATTAAAAGAATGAATGATTATCACACTTGTTAACATTGGAAGTGGTGTGATAAGGCAAACATATACTAATTGATTACAACTGGGGATTAAAGGCTTTATACAAAGAAATTGCCAGTTATAGAGTGTTCAATAACATACAGGCATAACCCATCAGTTATTAAGAAATGGCAAAGATGCCATTTCTTAATAACTGATATAGTGTATAGTATACCTGTGAGGGATGATAGATTTCATAGAGATCTGGTGGAAAACGGCTGGCGGAGCATAAGTATGATATACAAAACAAAAAGCAGACTGGCTTGCTGAAGTTTAGCTTCTATGTCAGTGTCAGATGTTTATATTTCTATAGGGCAGTCTCATTAAACACACCATTTGCACCAATCAAATCAAAATTTTAGCAGCTCTGGAAAGTTTTAAAGCCAAACTAAAGAGGGAATGTATCAATTTTAAGGAGGAGGTGAACATTTTGTATGCATGTCAGTCATTTTTCGACGATCCAGACAAGTGAATTAGTTTCTTATGTTTTTATAAATGTTAAGATTTAAAATAAAAATTAACCAATACATTTAAAAAAAAAAATTTTAACATTAGCATTCAATTTAAAATAAACACTGATATGTGAATTTTGATGTATACTTGTTCTAATGTTTACAGTTCCTATAATTTTTAAAATATTTAAATTCAAACGTTTAGCATTCTAATTATATCAAACATTTTTTGACCTAATGCAGATCCTAAGGGGATCAATAATGTTTGTCGTAACATATTTAAATTAAATTATATTTGCTGGTATAGTTTAAAGGTTTTAGTGGTGTTATTTAAAAGTCTATAACCAGCTTTGGAAAATTCAGAAAAATGGGATACTAAAATTTTATTCTGTATATTCAAAAACACCACAATTTAATGAATATTTTAGTCCAATAAGTGAATGTTTAAAATGTTTTCAATTATATTTTATTATAATGATCAAGTAGTTGCATATCTGGATGGATAGAGTGGAGAACAAATTTATGCAGCACCTGCTGACATATGACCTCCTTGTACTAAAACATTCTTTACAAATGACTGAGATACTAGAAATGAGATAACATCAAAAAATTATGATGCTTACGGATTATTTTCAAAGGTTTTTATAATACTAATTATAAACATCTGAATTTAAGAATGTAATAATTTTAAAATAATTGCTTAATATTTGTCTGTTAACCATTTACTTCAGAGAGACAGGGTTACTACTGAAATTTTTGTTTTAAATTCCATAACTTTCCCTGACCCTCATGTCCCTGACAGTACAGCACATTGACAAAATAGAACAGCATATGACTTTCTATGCAAATATGATATTGCTTCTTTAACTTTTTAATTAGTTATTTTTTCTAATTGTTGAATAATTAAAATAAAAATAAAATGGTTTA